GTTATTCTGGGAGCCCATCCAAAAACCAAACCAAACTCACTACCAAAGAGTTGTTTCCAACTTACAGCGACCCTCCTTGGGTTTCCAAGGCTGTATCTCTACGGAAGTAGATTGCGCAGTCTTCCTTCCAAGGAGTGTCTGGTGGGTTTGAACCGCCAGCCTTCTGGTTAGCTGTCAAATGCCTTAGGCACAGTACATTCAATATTCTTCACCAAAATCCATCTTAGTGTTAGTATAATTTGAACGGGTCAATTTTTCCTTGTTTTTCCTTTTCTATTGTCTATATGCAACATTCTTGAATCAGAAAAAAAATTATATTCATAGAGAGAAAGAGCTGGAGAACAGGGTTAGGGAAAGGAAGGGTGGGAAGGGGATGTAGCTATAAAGGTGCAGCACAAGGGATCCTTGTAATGGAAATGCTGTTATGTCTTTACTGTGATGGTGGTCACATGAATGTACCCATGTGATAAAACTGGATGAAAATAAATTGAAACACAAAAATTAATGCGTGTAAAGGTGGCAAAATCTGAAAAAGTTTGCTGAATTGCATTTATGTCAATTTCTGGACTTTGATATTGTACTATAATCATGAAATATGTTTCCTTTGTGGAAAACTAGGTGATGGGCATCTCTTTGAATGAAGGGATTTCTTTATATTATTTTTTCAAAAGTGTATGCACATTTATTATTATCTATTTTAAATCATTCCAGTTGTAGTATGAAGTTTAGATTGGTAATGATGGTTGAACATATAAGACTTAGTGGTTCATGTGTTTGTTGGGGGGACACAGTGAAGAGCAGCACACAGTCTTTAATAAGCACCAGGTTTCTTCCTTGCGATTCATTTATCAGAAGAGGAAAAAAAGGCACAGGTGATTGGAGAAGAGAAGTAATGAATTGGATTTTGAACTTTCTGACTTTCTTTAACTTGGAATCAACTAAGCAGAATATATAAAATGAGATTACAAGAAATAAAAGGAGGAAACTTTGGGTAAAGGAAGTCAGACCTCTGCCAGATTTTGTATATATACACCTTTCATGCAACATTCAATGCATGAGTAAATGTTGAACTATCAGAGTCATGTGCATATCAGGCAAGGGAATGTTTGGACTCAGAGGTAAGAATAAATTTACAAAGATACCTCAGAGAGTTTTAAATCCAGTCTGGATAAAATAAATTACATTCTCATTTTGCATTAAAGAAAAAAAGAATTAATATAGAACACCATGTGCCAAATATTAAATTGGTGTTCATAACTCTTTAATCCTCACAATAAGTCAAAAGCTACAGTTTCATTATCTACAATCTGTGATCAGAGATGTTAGGTAACTTCCTTAGTGACACAAAGCTGGGCTGGAATTTGAGTCAAGAGGTGTTTAACTCTTAAGCACACATTCTTTCCACTATACTAAGAGCCTTATGCTAGGTAGAAAAGGGAAGAATCTTGCTAAAAATTGCCAATTTTCTCTTCTTGCCTATTTTATTATTTTTCTGTGTGGAATTGAGCTTCTACTCTTACAGTTTTAAGTATTTAGTCCCCTACAGGGAAGTTTGGGAGCTCTGGTAGCGTAGTGCCTAAGGCACTTGACTGCTAACCAGAAGGCTGGTGGTTCAAACCCACCAGCCACTCTTCGGAAGGAAGATGGGGCAATCTACTTCCGTAGTGATACTGCCTCAGAAACCCAAGGAAAGGTCTCTATGAGTCCGGGTCTGACTCGAAGGCACATAACAACAACAACAACAACACAGGGAAGTGTTAAGGACTGTGTGCAAGTCACTTGCCCCATCTCTGCAGGATGGCTAAGCAGTACTGGCCTCAACTGAGTCCCCATCACTTCCCACTCTCTAGATGTCCTGCCTAGCACTCTATATCCACATAATCATAGTGCTACCTTAGCCTCTGGATTAGAAAAGGTTACTTTTCTTATGTTAATTGGTAGGTAGAGCTGTACTTTCTATTTTTCAGTTAACATGTCTTTATTATTATTATTATTTATTTTATTTTAGGTATGCAAGTTATATACAATTGTTAACAAGCATCTTTACCTCAACTGAATACAAGTAGATGAACAGCAGGTGTCTTCAGTTCAGTGTCTTCAAAGTTACATGCTGCATTCGCTCTCACTTCATTAACCACTAAAATAAACCAAAAACAATACCCACTGCCTGGAGTCAATGCCGACTCAGTTATCCTCCAGAAATTACCTTCCAGTACAGTGTAGAACTGCCCTACAGAGTTTCCAAGGCTTTAAATGCTTATGGAAGCAGATCGCCACAGATGAGTTCAAACTGCTTTAACCACTGCACTACCAGGGCTCCTTAATTACTAACACGTTGTTGTTGTTCTTTTTACATGCCTTCGAGTCAGTCCGGACCGGAAGTACATAGTGACCATTGCAGGACACAGGGAAACACTGCTCAGTCCTGCACCACCCTCCCAATTGTTGCCATCAGTTACTAGCATGTTGTTGTTGTTGTTATGTGCCGTGGAGTCAGCCCTGACTCATAGCTACCCCTCCTTGGGTTTCCGAAGCAGTATCACTACGGAAGTAGGATTGCCCAACCTTCCTTCCGAGGAGTGGCTGGTGGGTTTGAACCGCCAGCCTTCCGGTTAGCAGTCAAGTGCCTTAGCCACTCAGTTACTAGCATAGAACTCACAAATCTGTATATGGGGAAAGAATCAAAACTGCTGCTTTTCCCTTTCTATATTAAGTTCGGTACTTTGTAAGGTTTGTTTTTCTCCTCCCAGGGGTCATTTTCTCTATATCCTACTTTTAAATTCTTATCTTTACTTTCTGGTATCCCATTTCCTATTTCTAAGGTTGGCACATAATGATTATGATTTCTAGGGCTTTGCAGTCAATTTCTGTACCACATCTCACAGTCTTCTTACTTTACAAACCAAGGACAGGCAACCCAAGTCTGGAAAAGGTAATTTTTAGACAGGGATTAGGCTCATCTCCTTAATTAATTTATATGAAGTCTCACTATTTCCTAGGATCTTGATTAGTATTATTTTTAATGCTATTATAATCCTACTACTGTTTTCAGTAATCTAGATTTACTTTTCAAAGGTATTTCAGCGGGGAACGCCTGACATTCCTATCAAAATGCAGACTCGAGTCTGAGTAGCAGTATCACGTATAAATGCTAAGAAGGTGGACGGGAAACAGGGCATTTGGAAATGTTTATGGGATCCAATCCTCTGTTAGGTCAGTTAAATTTTGATCCTTCATCTTTTCAAAGCATCCAAGCGGTTCCTGTAGACTTAACTTCTCGCCATTCACGCCATCTAGTGGTTATATATGTAACATGTTTGGTTTTAAGAAAGATTCCTAATGCCTGGGGGCGGGGTACGCGAAAAACAGAACGGTTGGCGGCGACTATTTCCCGGTCTCCCGACAAATCACTTACCCCTCACACCAACACCTTGAACTGTTTTAATCATTTTAGAGATGCGCAGAGATGCGCAGAGAGGATTAAAGGGATGCGCATTCACCGAGACAGACGCCTCTTGATGCTGACATTTAGGAAAAGGTTCTAAACCGTCCCTGTCATTCGCAAAGGACGGAAAACGGAGTTGGGGGGGGGG